GTCGCGCACCACACGTCGTTTGTCCACCGGGCGAGCAGCGCGCCGGTGTTCACCACCGCCCCGACCACGCCCTCTGGCTGAGGCTCGGGCACGACATCGGCCCACCCCTCACCCTCGCCGCCCGCCGCGCCGCCGACCTCGCCACCAGCGACCGACTTGACCTGCAGCCCCTGCGCGCCGTCGCCGAGAAGCAGGAACGTGTACGCGCCAAAGTCGGTGTGCTCGCCGACGCGGATCGCAGACGAGGAGACCGGCTGCCGGCCGCGCCCTTCGGCCGGAGGATCGCAGGGAGGGTAGTGTAGCATGCCTACACGGCGGGTGCACACAAGCCTCGCGCGCTGCGCTCGGCGCCCATGTGAGTACGAGGCGCGCCAAGCGCAGCGCTGGACGGCGTTTGCAATCTAGGGGCGGCATGCGGAGCGTGCAAAGGTCGAAGCGCTGCAGCGAGCGGAGGAAGTAGTCGGTCTCGAGGCCGAGGGCCAGCGCGCAGGCGAGCGCATACCGCCGCGCCGCCAGCTCCAGCGCACGCCAGAGCTCGAGCGCAGTCTCCTCATACCCGTTGGGGCAGCCCGCAAAATTATTCAGCCCAAGCTCTGGCCTGTCAGACAAAGGCATCACCTCAACGATTCATCCAGTGCCGGGAGAAGTGAGGAGGTCGAGCGAGTCCTCCGAAGGTTGAACGCCTCCTTGAGGTCGGCCGGCCGCGCTCGGTTGAGTGACTCGAGTCCGACGGGCGCGTAGCCAGTGTTTGTGGCCGGCTGTAGTCGCGCGAGCCGCTCGCGCTTGTGCTCCTCGGGCTGGGCGAAGAGCGCCTCCGCTGCGGCAAAGGCTCGGCGTCGCAGCTCGGCGCTCACGCCAAAGTTGATGACCTGGACGAAGCCGGTGTCGCGGCAGGCCAGGTCGATGGCCTTTGCGCCTGCTAGCTGCGACGCAGTGGGGACCGCGCCCACGACGACGCCCTCGTCGGCCATGAAGGGACTGAGGTCGACGGTGGCGACCATCAGTGCTGTCGACCGCTGCTGCCCGCACCCTCGCCGCGAATCCCGGCTAACCTCGAGATCTGCACCTTGGATGTGGCTGCGCTCCCTGTTTCACAGCCATCCGTGCTAAGGATGGCTGGCACGCCTAGATCTCAGCCATACACTCCTACCCGATGGCTGGGATACATGGCTGCAATTGCAGGATCCTAGCCACTCCGCCCTACCAGCACACGCCATTTTGGCTGCCATCCAGCCAGTGCAGCCTTCCTCCGGCTTCTCACTGGCAGTCTCTCACTATCACGGGCACACTGACTGAGGCGGCCAAGGCTCACGCGTCACGGTCACGCCGTGGGTGGCAGGGGCGGTGATAGGAGTCTCCCACTCTGTGGGCTTCGCTAGTGTAGCTATTGTTGGCAAAACAAGACACAGAGCTCACACATCGCTAGTGGGTGCGGCCTGCGCGTGTCCTCGCCCTTGCGGTCTTGAGGGGGAAGGGGAACGGGCTGTGTGTCTGTGCATGTGCAGCCGCCGCCAAAAGGGAATCAGTAACCAGCCTCCGGCGGGGCCCCCCGCTACCATCCAAACCCGAGACCGGTCTACTAATCATAGATAGAGGCTCAAGTGTGACATAAGTCCACATACATACGACACACATACACAAAGCAACTCTCACGACAACACGGGCACCGGGTGGAGCGGCGGCGGCGGCGGCAGCGGCACGCGCGGGCGGACGGATTCGGACGGGGCGGAGCAGCGACCGCCTGGGCGGCCGCTGCTCTGCAGAGCGCGCCGTCTGTCTGCGCAGCTCGAGCGCCGTCAGGTGCAGGGAAGCGTGGCGGCGCGGGGAAGCGCGGCGGCGGTGGCGAGCAGGCGAGCGGCCCGCGCGCGGCGAGGCGGACAGGTGATCGGCAGGCGGGTGATGGGCCGGAGAGTGACCGCGCCCAGCGATCGGAGGAGAGCCGATCGTCGCTCGGCCGCAGCTGACCTCGAAGGCGTGCGGAGCGCGACTGTTGGTGTCGGGGGGCGGCCGTCATGTGGCGAGGAGGGAGGACGACAAGTGCGCGTCGTACGGGTCGCTCTTCATCGGCCAGTCGAGCGGACGGTAGGTCGGTCAAAGTGAGCCGGTGAGGACGGCGAGATTCGTTGCGAGATACGGTTCGCGGGGGCGCCCAAACAAGTTTGGGACGGGGACGCTCTGGGGACGCGCCGCAAAATCAAGCAATTGGAAAGGGTGTGTGTGTGTGTGTGTGTGAAAGCGCCGTCGCAACTGCCATGTCGGCAGGTTGTAGGCTGGTGCTCTCGCCCCGCTGGCGGCGCGGACCGGTGCCGCGGCTCCGAGCCCTCCTGTGGGCCCGCGGCGGCTCGCCGTCGCGGTGCCGAACAATGTCATCGGTCCGGATTCATCCCGGCGTGTGCCGCCGGTGACGCTTCTTCGCCGAAATTTTGCTCAAGCTCTTTGTCGACAAAGCTGTGCCCGAGCTCCTGCTGCTCGACTGCGCGGCGGATCCGGCCCCTGGATGCTGAGATGTGAGGCGCCGGCACCGGGGCTACAACACGGGGCCATCTCCAGGCTGTCTCGGGCAACCTCAAAATTGGCGCCTCTCTCTGCTGGTGCTGCTGCTGCTGCTGCTGCTGCTGCTGGTGGTGCAGATGCTGCTGCTGGTGCGGCTCGGCTCTCCGACTCGACTCGCCGCGGGCGTCGCGGGCATCTGACGCGGCGGGCGGCGTCGCGGGCGGCAGCGATCGCGGCTCGACGGTGGAGGCGGAGGGTGGTGGCTGTGGTGGACCTTTGAGTTTATTTAATGGTCGAGTACGAGGACTGGGGGGTTCAACCGGGAGGCAGGGGTTCAACCAGGCGACGGCGGACCGTGGGCCATCGCGGGGACGGGTCCGTCCGGAGGGCGAACCCGATAGATCCGGATGGGTTCACACCGGTGGGAGGCACCGAGGCGTCTTGGACGCTCAGCTCTACCTTAGCTCCTGAGGGGCGCGTGGTTGTAACCACGTAGTAGGACTACAGCCCACCACAGACACCCTCCCTCTCCACACGTGTGCACACGCCCTCACCCTCTCCCCTCTCCTCTCTATCCTCTCTCTCCTCTCTCTCCTCTCTCTCTCCTCCTTGTCTGTGCTGTCTGCCTGACTCAGGCACTAATTCTGCCGATGCGTGATTGTGTGTGGGCTGCTCCGAGGGGGCCCTGCGCGATCCGATGGGTAGGGAGTCTGTGCCCGGGCGGTGTCCGGTGTGGAGTCTCTCTCTGATCCCACCTGTGATGTTGGGTGTGAGGTTGTGGCGGCTTCGATCCCAAGGGGGGGAGCTGATCCCACTCAGTAACCAACTCTCAGGGGCAGTAGGTGGGCGAGCCTCGAGCGCGCTCATCTCGATCGTCAAGGCGTCGCTACGCGCGGTCTTCCGCGGGGGGAGCTTCGTCGACGGGTGCGGGATCGCGGCGCAGTCAGTGCCGTGGCGATGCCTCCGGCTGTTGTGGCGGGCGGCTTGCTGCTCGCGGCGATGGCGAAAAACTCGTCTCGCCGCACACCAAGGGCTCATGCTCTGGCGAGATGTGAGGCGCATGCGCCCAGGAGGGGAGGGCGCATGCGTAACGACGCTGCTAGAGATGCCTTTCGGGGCCCAGAGATAAAACTTCTGATGCCATGCATGACCTAGTAGTGTCCCCAGCTATGGGCGTGTCCACGTTGGAGCCAGGTGTGGTGTGGGCGCGAGAATAGCTCCGCCGTTCATGGAGGCAACCGATACGAACGAGTCGACTGGTGTGTGTCGTCGTGGTTTCGTATCAAGACTACTCACTCACTCACTGGAAAGGGGGCTACTGGGGCGGCCAATTCACACCTCGCGGGACTACTTGTGTTTTCGCGGGGGGGCTCGCCCGAGAACTTGGAGCACTTGGAGTGCAATCAGTAACCGCACATCCAGGGCCGGGTGCGCTTCACGGCCTTCTTTTTCTCGACGGCCACTCCCACGATTTGCAAATGGCGCCGCCACGCTCCGGGGCCAGGCGCGGCAGGCCGTCCGACGCGGTAATTCACTACACCAAGCGGCTCAACCGCGAGTGCGCTGAGCGCGGCGACGTCGCGGGCGCGCGGGCCTTGCTCGATGCGATGGAGGGCGAAGGCCTCGCGCCGACTCTCGTGACGCTCAACACACTTCTCAAATGCTACCGCAACGCGCGGCGTCCGGACGCGGCGGAGGCGACGCTAGATCGCGAATTTCGGCGCTGGGGGCTCGAGCCCGACGGCTGCTCCTTCTGCACGCTCATTGACGCGTACGGGCTCTCCGGCGACCTGGCTGCGGCGTGGCGAATCCTGCACCGAGCAGAGGCCGCGGGCGCGGCGGACGCTCGCGTCTACTCGGCGATCATGCGCTTTCTCGCGCCCGCGGAAGTGCCCCCCCTCATCGAGCACATGCTGCTGAGGGGGCTCTCGCTCTCCGTCACCGTCTGCAACGCGGCGCTCAACGCCTTTGCTAACGCAGGTGGGCCCGGGGGCAGCTCGCGCCTGCCCGCCCCCGGCGGTGCACCCACCCCCAGAACCCCGGCCTAGGCGACCACCTCGCCGCCGCGGCCTTCTTCGACCGGCACATGCGGGGCGACGTGAAGCCAGACGATCGCTCGTACTCGCTCCTGCTCAAGGTGCGCCGCGGCCCTGAGCATGCCGCGCAGCGCCACCAAGCCGCACAGCGCCACCCAGCCACTCAATGCCACTCAATGCCGCTCAGTGCCGCTCAGTGCCGCTCAGTGCCGCTCAGTGCCGCTCAGTGCCGCTCAGTGCCGCTCAGTGCCGCTCAGTGCCGCACTGACATGCACTGACATGCACTGCCACGCACCTGCCACACTCACAGGGGGCACGCTAGGCGGGTGCCCTTCCCAGCCGCCTCACCCCTCCTCTGCCAAGCACCGGCGGCATCTCGGCGGCATCTCGGCGAGCATCTCGGCGGCATCTCGGCTGCAGGCGCGTTGCTCAGCCGGCGATGCCGCGGGCGCGGACGAGACGCTCCGCGCGATGGTTGCGGAGGGATGCCGCATCGAGGTGCCCGCCTTCTCGACGGTGATGAACGCCTACGTCTCGCAGCGGCCGCCGCAGCTCGCCGCGGCGGAGAGTCTGATGGCGGAGGCGCAGGCGCTCGGCCTCGTCGCGGACACGCAGATGTACAACTTGCTGCTCAAGGGGTATGCGTCTGCGGTGCCCCCGCAGCCGGTGGCGGCCGAGGCGCGTCTCTCCCGCGACAGCTTTTTCTTCCGCCGGCTCATCCCCCTCCCCCTCCCCCTCCCCTCTGCAGGAGACTCTGCAGAAGCTCGAGGCCGCGGGGCTCGAGGTGTCGGTCACTTCGCTCACAACGGCAGCCCGCCCTAGACTCGGGGGAGGCGGCCGTCGCTGCACCGAGAGCAGCTCTCCCCCCGTGTCTGGGCGGTGCCCACGTCCCCGTCCACGGCCGGGCTGCACTGCGCCGCATCGTGCCCGCCCTCGCCGGCTGCCCTCCTCCCGCGCGTGCAGGTGATGGACGCGTGGTGCGAGGCGGGGAGGGTCGAGGAGGCGCAGCGCCTCGCGCGGCAGTACGAGCCGTCGCTCAAGCTCTCCGGCGCCATCTACAACGCACGCCTCCCCGCGGGCGGGCTGCGCCGCGCGCGCGCTGCAGGCGCCCGTGGACGCGTCGTGGGTACCCCCGTAGGTGCTGATCAAGGGTTACGCGCGCTGCCGTTGCCGGCGGACGAGCGGCGTGTGCCACTGCACTCCGTGCCAGTGCTGCAAGCCCGCCGAAGGGATGCGACTCTTCCAAGAGATGGCGATGCGCGGCTTGGCGCCCGACTCCATCACGATCAGCACGCTCGTCGACGCGCACTGCAACGCGGGGCTCATCGAGCAGGCTTTACTTCGGCTTTACCTCGGCTTTACCTCAGCTATATCGCGGCTTATCTCGGCTTTGCCTCGGCTGTACCTCGGCTGAACCTCGACTATACCTCGGCTGTCCCTCGGCTGTATCTCGCCGGCTGATCAAGCAGGCGTGGCTGCTGCTCGAGTCCCTCTGCCAGCGGGGCACGCGAGCCGGAATCAGCCAGCACAAGGCGACCGGCGCCCGCCCGAACCTCGCGGCCTTCCGCACCGCCTTCCGCGCGATTGAGCGCGCCTCCCGCACCGCCGCACCGGACGACGGCGGCGCCGATGGGGGCGAGGGGTTGGTTGGCGGCGGGGGGGGTGGCGGCCAGGGCGGCGAGGCTGCCAGTTGTTGCGGCGGCGGCGGCCACGGCGGCGGTGGCGGCGCGCTGCGGCGTACGCAGCTGGTGCGACTCGTTGCGGAGGGGCTGGCGATGTTGCGGGAGACGCTCGGGTGGCCGGACGACGCCGGCCTCTCCGCCACGCTCGCCACGCTCTCGTCCGCCCTCTCAATCGCGGACGGGGACACCGCGCTCTCCGCCGCGCTGTCGAGGTACTGCAGTCCCGAGCCGCGAGGCGCGGAGGTGGAGGCGCTGGGGTCACTCACCGCTTCCGAGGCGGAGGCGCTGCAGCTGGCGGCGGAGCGCGCGGCGGAGCGCTCGGCAGAGCAGGAGGCGCAGGAGAAGACGCTGGCCGATTGCTTGCCGGGCGGCCTCTTCGCGCCGATGGCGCCGCCGCCGCCGCCGCCGCCGGCCCAGCTCGCGGCGGCTGCGCCCCGTCCCCCGTTCGGTCGCCCATCTCTCTCGCCGGCCACGCCGAACCCTCCGTCACACAAGCCGCCGCCGCCCCCGGTGCCGCATTCTCCGGCAGTGCCCCACGCCGTTGCTACTCCCGTCGCTACGGCGGCGGCGGCGGCGGCGGCGGCGGCGCCCGGAGCAGCTGTTTGCTTCACTCTGTCTCTGTCGGGCCTTCGCTGCGAGGGCTGCTCGGGCACTGTGCGCACCGCTCTGCGCGCGGTGACGGGCGTGGCCTACGCGGAGGTGGTGTATGCGGAAAGTTGCGCGATAGTGAGTGGCGCCGCGGGGCTATGCGGCGACGCCCTGACCGCCGCCGTTGCTGCTGCCGGCTTTGAAGCCTCCGTCATTGATCAGCGCAATGTCGACGGCTCGGCACCAGCGCCGCCGCTCAGCCTACTCGAGCGGCGCGAGCTCGAGCGATTGAGGTGGCGCTGCCGCGGCACCTCGGCGTGCGAGTATAGGAGGTGAGCGCACCCATCTGAATGCACTGTAGGCCGAAGCTTGAGGCGGCTCTCTCGCGCGTCGCAGAGCTCGAGGCGGCGCTCGCCGCTGCCGGCATACCAGCGCCAGCACCGCGGTAGAGAGCGCTACCACACACGACGACCGACGACCGACTGAGAATACACATACGTCGTTGCACACGCAAGCGCGGTCCAGCGATACACATGTAATAAAACGCTTGGAAAAGAGGCGGGGCGCCTCAGTCTTTTTTGTGACGTTTGGCGCGCGGACGGCGACGGGGCCCGCTCTCACGTCTCACACTCTCACCCCCATCTAGGAGCAGGACCGCACTCAGGAGCGAGAGAACAAGAGAGGACTGAGAGCTCTCTCAGTCTCACCGCCGTGGTCCGTGCTGCGCACACGCATCACACACACGTTCGCGCGGAATATCTCGGCGACGAGATCGCGAGTCACGATAACTCGTACAGTAGCTAGGTTTGGCTCATCCCCTCCAAGCTTTGCGCGATCGCGATCGCCATCATCTGATCCTCCGCCTCCGTGTCTGCCGGATCCATCGCCCTCGGCGGCGGCGGCAAAGCGCTCCCATTCCCTGCGACCGCGCCAGCCACGGCAGCAGCAGCGCCAAGCTGCTTGCTGCGCCATTTCTCTCGCGTAGCCTCGCCGACGCCCTGCGTAAACCTCCACGCTCCGTCGCCGTAAGCATGCCGCAGCAACAGCGCCAGCGCCGGGTCGTGCGCTGCCAGTCGCGCGCGAGCATTGACCCCGGCCGTCACGTCAGTGCGGCACGTCGCATCGAACCAGGCTTGCGTCCCCTCCGCCCAATACTCGTCGGCGTTGCACCCCATGTAGCAGTGCGATGGGTAGAGGCCGCGCCCAATCGCGTCCGCGTGTGCCGCTCGGATGAGCTCCCGCGCTTCCTAACCTCGGCAAGACTCACCTCACCTCATCAAAGAGGGTGGAGGGGAGGGGTGAAGTGAGTCTGTCCGGGGGTGACGACACTGCGGGCGCATTTCCATGCCGCGGCTGCGCGGGCGAGCACACCTCGCTGAGGCCGAGGTTCATGACCGTGTGGCCCAGCTCGTGGCACAGCACGCTCTCGTCGCGAAACCACGGGTCCGCCGCAATGTCGAGCAGGTTCTCTTCGCCGCACGAGACGACCCTTCCGCCGCCGAGCCCGCGCGTGGTCGCGTCGATCTCGCTCAGGCCCTCGCGCTGCTTCTTCTCGGCGCGCGGCTCAGGCTCCCCGGGGGCGGCAGCGTCGGCCGTGCTCGCCGCCTCCGCCACCTCCTCCGCAGCCGCTTCCAGCGGCGTCGCCTCTGCCTGCGGCTGCACGGCTTCGACAGGCGCGCAGCGGTCAAGCGCGCCGCGCAAGGCCACGTCGGAGAGGAGCCCACGAGATACGAGGTCGTAGAGCACACCTGGAGTGAGGTCGACTATGGGTCAGGCTGCAAGGCGTTTTCGGGTTGGGGGTGGCGGGAGAGCCGCACACCGGCGAGCTGGCGAGAGTCGCAGCGCTCAAGTCGTGGCTTGATCGCCGCCGCCATCGCCTCGCGGCGGATGTCGTCCGCCGATTTCGGCGGATCGCGCGAGTCGGGAGCTTCAGGCGCCGGCTCGCGCGTGCGCTGGGCGCTGAGCGCGTGCGCGCGGTGCTCCGGGATGTCGCTCGTCAGCTGCTCCCTCCCAATGACGGAGATCGAGCACCGTTGCACAGCCAACCGACTCGTGACCGCCTCTGGGCTGTGTCGAAGCATCTCGCGTGCGATTGCGGCGGCGGCGAGCACCGCGCCTGATGCGACCACGTCGGACGCACGCACCGTCAGCCCGGCGCACCCGACCTCGGCGCTCTGCTTGTAGAACGCTGCGGCCATCTCAGCCTCTGCCTCGTGCGCTATAGCCTCTGGCGCTGGCTCCGGCGCCGGTGCCGCAGACTCGAGCGTGAGCTTGTGCTCGGACACGGTCGCCACGTGCTCGACAGAGCCTCCCTCGCAGTGGAGCCGCCAGCAGTGCCCGACGAACGTCTCCTGCATTCGCACTTCCCCAGGTGCAAGTGGCTGACCGTAGGCAGTCTCGGCGCCCTCGCTGCACCAGCACAGGGTGGCGGTGTAGGGCGTGCGGTTGCTGGCGATGACGGTGGTGCGAGCCGGCGCGGACGGCATATGTGTGGTGTTCTTTCCTCTCCCTCGTATCCTTCAGGTATACGGTACCAGTACAAACGTCCGGAGATATGTCGCACAATGTGCTCTATGGGTGACGAGAGGCGACGGTGCAGGAGTCTGTGTCCGCGGAGACGACTACCTCGGCGCAGTGCCTGACCCTCTGGGGCAACGTGGTTGATGGCATCCTGGCCGTCTTCTCGGCCGAGCTTCCGCCTGGCACCTTCCCTGGGACCGTCGGGACTATTAAGGTGCCGGGACAGGTGAACACCCTCCGAGTTTACTGCACACAGGAGGCCGGCGACCTGCTCTACCGTGCTGTCCTCAACGAGTCCGGCCTCTCGCCCCCCGCCTTCTGCTCGCTTGTAGATGGCGTCCTCTCTCGCTTCCTCGATCTCATCAACTCGGTGCCGCGCATGCACCCAGATGAGGCGATCGAGCAGATTGTGCACAAGGAGAAGATCTGCTCCTTCATCGTCGCGCAGCCAGTGGCGGCGGCGGCGGCGTCGGCGGCTGGCCGCAGTGACTTTGACAGGGAGGCCATTTGCCGCAAGTGGATTACCGACGGCCGATGTGCCGACTTTGTCAGCGGCAAGTGCCCGTACTCGCACCCCCAGGGGCTGCTTCGCGGAGGCCGCGGCGGCGGAGGGCGCAATCGCCAATGGCGCAACGCCCCTCAGGGCGGCGGCGGCTGGGGCGGCGGCGGCTGGGGCGGAGGCGGCTGGGGTGGAGGCGGCTGGGGCGGCCCGCCCCGCTTCAACCCTTACGATTACGGCCCTCCCCCGGGGAAGGGAAAGGGCGGCAAGGGCGGCAAGGGCGGCGGAGGCGGCGGCCGAGGCTGGGGCCGCGGCGGCGGCGGCGCCTGGGGTTCTTACTCCTACTAAGGCTCGAGGCCCGACGCCGTAGGATTGCCGCCCTTACTAAGGCGCCTCCTCGTGGAATAGGCCAGGACGGGGCTCAACGTAGCGGTGCGCCGTCTTGGACCTCGAACTTTGTGACGCACGTCGACGGCGGCGACCACACCCGTTATGTCGGGCGGTCCGTGAGTCGCCCCGGGTGCAGCGACGGGCATTGGGGAAACCCCCATCGAATTAGGAAGGGGGTGGGGAGGGAGGAGGCCGTGCGGCGCTTCCGACGCGACCTGCTGCGCAACCCCGCCTGGGTCCGCGAGGCCCGGCGCGAGCTGGCGGGAGAGAGGCTGGGGTGCTGGTGCGCCCCTCGCGCGTGCCACGCGTATGTGCTGGCGGAGGTCGCGAACTGCACCGAGTCAGAATTGCGCCGCCTCGAGCGCGAGTGGCGCTAGCCACCGCTTGCAGCCGCTGGCGCAAATTCTCATGAGTGACGCGTTTGCGTGGCGTGTTTGTGTTTAAGGGTCGGCGGGAGGGAGAGAAAGAATGGTCGACTACCGCACGCTCTGCGTCGGCTGCGAGGCCATGGCCTCGCGTCGACTGGAATCGCGCGGACGCGCGTTATTGGTGATAACTTCGAAGTTATCGAGGAACGTCGGATACTAATCGGTAAAGAACCCGGGCCGCGCTAAAGCGCTATCCGGCATTCTTTCCTCTCCCTCGTATCCTTCAGGTATACGGTACCAGTACAAACGTCCGGAGATATGTCGCACAATGTGCTCTATGGGTGACGAGAGGCGCGAGCTCCGGGGGCTCGTCCCACGACTATGTCGTTTGGGCGAGCCACTCGCGCCCCTCCACTGAGAGAGACTCGTCGCCCATTGAGTACACAGAGGCTCACTCAGGGGCTATTCCCACTCGGTAGTATTGGCGGAGCGCCTCAGGCGCCGACTCGACAGGCGGAAAGATGTCCATCCACGTGGTGTCCGCCACAATATTGTCGTGGCCATACTCCTTCAGCCCATCCGCAATCGCGTGCAGGAAGAGCCCCCGCACGCGCAGTTGCTGCTTCGGCGACATTGGGTTATAGTGCCTCTGGCGGGTGCCCATGGCGGCACTGCAAGGCCGCTTCCGGCCGCCGCTGCGCGTCGACGGCGGGGCAGCCTCACCGCCGGCTGCAGCCTTGCGTGGCGAGGCCCAGTCCCCCACGACATTCGCCGTCTTCTCCTCCCATCCGAGCTGCTCGGTAATGTCCCCGCCAAGGTTGCGAAGGGCGTGGGTCCCCTGCAGTTGGCCCTCGTGCAGCTGCTGCTGACTGAGGCCCCACGCGAGGGGTTGGACGGCGACGAATGCATCGTATGCTTTCCTCTCAGCGCAGTATGTGTAGCGGCCCTCGCCATCAAGCCGCATTCGGTGGGACGATAGGACTGAGGGACCTTCAAAGTCAGTGACCACGAAGGGCAGGCCCATGCGGCTGTCGCGGAAGCTCGGGAACCACGGCAGCGGCTCCCCTGTAGACAGGCTGATCGCGTGCGAGAGGCACTCGACGTCTTTGCGCCCATTTTTGTCATCGTCTATCATCACACGGACAATAGAGTCGTCCTCGTGCTCGAGCATCTTTGCCCCGCGGAGGTCGGCGCCTCTCAGGCAGAACAGAGCGCCGACGTAAACCTCGCGGGCCTTCTCCCGAATAGCCTCACTGATGTCGCTGGGCGGGCTGTCGACATAGTTGGAGAGATGCAGCAGGGACGCAGGGGAAGGGGTGCCCCTGGCCTTACCCGCACCGTCGGGCGCAGGCCTGCGGGGAATGCGGACCGGGAGGGCCTCCGGTTTATAACCCACGATCAGAGGGCATGAAGTCGGCTGAATAGTGTTCAGGAAATCCAGCGCCGGAGCGTACCGCGCATAGGCTGTCGGTGACATCACCTCGCCCATGCGACCGGCGGCAAACATGGCGTCAGTCTGCGTAATGGGGAATAAATCCGCTCGAGATCGGCCTTCCGAGTTCATGACTGTCATGAAGTTCTCCAGGAACAGGCGTGTCTTTGTCGTCTTGTCCCCGGTCTTACCCCCTCGCTGGGCGAGGAACTGGATACCAGCCGCCCTGTACGTCTGCAG